CTCTCTCTTTCACTTTAGCTCCCCTCCCTTCTCTTTAATTAGGTTAACAGTTAGGGTTTTCATACAGTGTTTAGTTTTTGCACGATTAAGCTGCTCTGGAGAAGAAAAGCAAGCTGGAGAGCAGGGGTGTGAAAATCACCCCGCTGTCCTCACGCTTGCGCTATTTCATTCGCACTTGGTGAGCTTGTTAGGCTTGGATTGAAAGTTTTGCACATCCACCCAGGGCTGCACCACGGCGTGTGTTAAAAATAAGAAAGAAAGAAAAAAATAAATCCCTTGGTGTAATTAGGTATCAGACCTGGTGTGTTTTCCTGAGGGTCCTGCAGGAGGGTAATGATCCACAATGTGAATTTTGTTTCTGGGTCACAGCTTTTAGAGAGGAGGCGAAATACCTGGGACCGGTGGGGCCCAGGTCCGCGGAGGGACGAGTGCTTTGGTGCCAGCTTTTATGAAGAATCAGAGAGATGCAGTATTTATAGCTGGAGGTTACCTGTGTGGTTTAAAAACAGGGAAAAGAGAAAAATAAAAAAAAAGGAGGGAAAAAGGCAGATGCTGATGTGTGAAGCCAAAGGGTGACCTTCCCAGTGGCAAAAACCTGAGGTTGGCAGTGGAAATCACCCCAAAATCAAGGAGCAGAAAGTGGGACAAGTGAGTGGAGATGGAGCCGAGCCGGGTTCAGGGGCTGCTCCCAGCCCTCAGCTACTTGTTGAGTGCGAGCCTGCATTAGGCTCCGCTCAGTAACTGCATTGTTCTGCTATTAGTCCCTTTAAAACAATTATTTCTAAGGATCAGCAGCCTTTGTCCTTTCTTTCTTTTCTTTTCATTTCTTTTTTCCAATATATCAGCAGAAAGTGGAAATGCGGTCTCTCTGATCTAGCCTGAATATTATTTACTATGCTACTTCCTGGAGAAGATAATGAATCTTGACCCTTTCTATTCATATAACCCACCTTCCCTTCCTTTCGAGCACTTACTTTCAGTATTGTTCACAAATGTCTGGTACGATGAAAACCAGCTTGGAGATTTTCTAGACATGCACAAGCTCCCATGCAAACATACGTGTCCACGCTGCACCAGCTCTATACCTATCTGGGGCTCTATAGATCTGTGTTTGCATCTCCCTTCTGTATATTTAGCAGTCTCTATACACATATCACGATACCTACAGAGGTTAAGGCTCTCTAGATGTCAATGCCTTTCTAGGGCTTTATTAGCAGGCACAAACTTGCTCTCCTCCAGTTGTATAACTGTGTTTTTCAGCTTATAGTGATGTCTTCAAGTTGCTGTGGGTTTGGGTAGATTTGATTCTTTGGATACATATATATATACACACATGTATTTTAGCAAAGGCAGCATTTAATTTAAAATATTAGGTACCATCCCTAAAGAGTATATATAACCAAAGAAAACAAGGTTTGACTGCGTAAATCTAGTGTTTGGGGTTTTTTTTGCAAAGGCCAGGTCTGTATTTTAAAAATACAAGTGAAGCGTCTCTTGCCATAAGAAGGGGATGGAGAGTTTCTTTTGAGAGAGTTGGTACTCGCTGCGTGTGCCCTATCGCCACGAAAAAGCTGTCTAACATTTGTGTGCAGCCTCGTGGAAGAAAAAAAGACAAAAACTAGGCGGTTTGCAAAGTTTAGCAGCTCTGTTGGAAAGGTTATTAACACGTCTGTGGGCATCTTCTGGTCTTCTTCGTTTGGCCAGAATATTCCCAGGGTTTATAGCCCACGGCTGCCTTCGGGAAATTATTTTCCAGCTAAGAAAAAAAATGATTTCTGCAGTCGGGACTTGGCAATTTCACGCAGGATCTTCGCTTCAAAGTCCGCGTGGGATTGTCTGGAAAAGGGAGAAAGTGAAGGGGGGCTCGCCACATTCCGTGTCCCAGGGCTGGCATCCCTGCTCGGGGGGTCCCGACCCGGACACCCGGTCCTGAGCAGGATCGGGGCCGCCACCTCAGGCTATTGCAGCGTTTAAATTTTAATTTTTAAAGGGGAGTAGGGTTTGTTTTTGTAATTTGGCTTGCTCCCCCCTGATGCTGAGCCCTTTGGGAAGGAGGGAGGAGGGGGGTACAGCCCGGCACCCCCCCTGGGGGCTTCGCCAGGGTGGCCCAGGGAGTGTAACGGGAGTTTCGCTGTGTTTTCTCCGAGCAGGGAGCCAGGTGTGCCGGCCCCCGCTGCTGCACGGCTCGCTGCCCTGGCTGGACGGGAGCAAGGCGCTGAGCAGCCACCACAGCGCTTCCCCCTGGAACCTCAGCCCTTTCTCCAAGACCTCCATCCATCACAGCTCACCGGGACCCCTTTCCGTCTACCCACCCGCCTCCTCTTCCACTTTATCCGCCGGTCACTCCAGCCCGCACCTTTTCACCTTCCCACCGACCCCTCCTAAAGATGTATCCCCGGATCCGTCCATCTCCACTCCCGGCTCCACCGGCTCCACCCGGCAGGACGAGAAGGAATGCATCAAATACCAGGTCTCCCTGGCCGATACCATGAAGCTGGAGTCCTCTCACTCTCGGAGCAGCATGGCCTCTTTAGGGGGAGCCACCTCCTCCGCTCATCACCCCATCACTACCTACCCACCGTATGTCCCAGAATATGGCTCTGGACTTTTTCCCCCCAGTAGCCTCTTAGGAGGATCGCCTACCGGGTTCGGGTGTAAATCGCGACCGAAAGCACGGTCAAGCACAGGTAGGGCTTTTGGCTTCTTCATCCCCGTTGTTCGGGAGAGGAAGCTATGGGGGGAAACGGGGGGCAAAGGGATGAGGCTGCCCCCCGACCCACACGCAGAGGGATGCGCACAACCATCCGTGGGATGAAAACACACGGCGAGAGGGGACTTTACCTTCCCCACAGGTTGCCCTGCTGGGTTTATAACTAAATTCCTCCTTGCCCAAGCCGGGCTGGGGGTACAACCCCAGGCACGCCGGCCCAGGACCCCAAACCTGCCCCCCCCAGGAAACGAAACCCAGGGAACCGCAGCATTAGTCTATCTCTCTGTATTTTAATAATGGTACTAAATCCCGGCCAACTTCCCCCGCCTGCCCTCCGCCTCGCTCTTCCCAGGGCCTCTTCCCATGCGGCGACGCGCCGAGGGTTTTCCCGAGGGGGAGCTCGCCCACGCAGCCCCCAGCCCCATCCAGCTCCGTGGCAGGGTCTTTTATCACCCCCAAAGCAAGACCCCAAAAGCATCCCCCCCCGGCCGCACTGCTCGGGGAGGAGCGGGGGGTCCCAGCACCCCGCGCAGCTGGGACGGGGGATGCGCGGCTGAACGCTCCGGGCGCGGAGGTTTGTGTGCACCGGGGGGTTGTGTGAGAGCCGAGGGGTGTGTGTGTGTGTGTGTGTGTGTGTGTGTGTGTGCGCGCAGAGGAAAGGGCGATTAGTCAAAACTCTTTTTTTTTCTCTCCATTTTTTTTTCCGAGGAGGCTGCTGCAGGGTTGCCTGGCATGAATGAGATCAGTTTTCAGGGTTTTTCCAGGGTGACATTTACTCTGTCTGTCTGAGCAGGGACTGTCTCTATTTAGCTGATATGTTTGAGCTAATCCAATTATTTTCAGACTGCTGCACGCGACAGTTGCATTGTTTATCCAGCGCCAGGAACTTTAATAGAGTCCGGATGCGGTTTGAGTGACAAAAAAACCCAGACCTGTATGTTTTGTACATGAAAGCAGGAGAGAGAGAGAGATGGAGTGAAACAAAAGAGAGGGACAGAGACTCAAACAGCCCCGGAGCGGCTGCCCCGTTTAACCGGAGGGGAACAAAACGACCTGGGTATTAACGGGAGCGGCTCCCCGCCTGGCCCCGGTCCGGACCGGGCGCTGTGTCGGGGTAGGGACCGGTTTATTCTGTCCCCCGGCCGCCCCGGTGCCCGCCGCCCCGCAGCTCCCGCCGGGGCACCGGCTGCGCGGGATTTTCAAACCGTCTTTGCCCACCCCCACCCCCCCACCTCTTGTTTTCCTTTTGCCACTTTCTGTTACCTTACCTTCTAGAGAGACATCTGCGGTTCGTGATAAACCAACCCCACGAGCAACACCTATTTTTTTTCTTTCTATTTTTTTTTTTTTTAAAGTTGATTTTAGCAAGCTGGGAAGCTCGCAGACAAAGGGGGTTAGTGCTGGAGGAAAAGGAGGGAGGGGGTGTTTTTGCAGGATGAAAGAGGGAGAAACGGCTGCAAATGTCTTTTTTTTTTTTCTTTTTTGTTGAGGGGGTGAGAGGAGAGGGGTTTAGTGCAAAGGCTCTGGAAAAACGGTTGCCGTTTGTGGTTAGGGCGCGGATGCCTCTTGCTCGAATGCAGCGCGGGCTGGGGCAGTGGGGAGCTGGCTCTCTGCTGAGTTAGCTCTGCTCTGGCCGGCTGAGGTCTTCTGCTGCTCTCAGATGGGTTGGAAGTGTCATTAGGTGCAAGAAAAAAAACCCCAACAAACCAAACACTCAACAAAAAAAACGACTCAACCCTCTGAAAATAGCTGAGAGGCATGCCCGGACCCCCTCAGTTGCCTCCTCCAAACTGGGAGCCGGTGGGCTGGGGGAGACACCCCCTCCAGTAGCCGGGGAGAGGGTAGAGAGGTGCCAAAAAGGAGGAGAAGAAAGAGGGAAAGACCTTAATCAGGGCTCATGCAGGCTCGGGGCTGTTGGGGATCCCAAATATCAGGGATGGACCATCAGGCTGCAGATGCGGTGGGGAAGCCAGAGGGATTTCCGCAAGTTGGGTGGTGGAAGCTTAATTGCAAATTAATCGATAGAGGATATTGGCAGAGTGGTTGTGTATTGGCTGGGGCCGGGGAGGTGTTTTGGTTGTTGATCTGTGATTATTTTGGGGGTCCTTGATGTGATTTGACCTGAAGCCAAAGGAAGAGCCCCCCCCCAGGCTCATGCACCCCCCTTGGAGCTGGGGCAGTGCTCGAGGAGTGACCCCAGGGTCCCCATAGACATCAGAAAGGGGGGCATGGACTTAAATTTGGTATCCATCCATCTCGGAGGGGTTGGAGGCTCCTGCAAAGCCTGCCAAGATTTGCCTGGTCCATATAACAGCATAGGGTCTGGAGGGCTGCAGGAGCCCTTAGTCCAGAGGGGAGGGGGAACTGCCAACCCCTCACCAAAGGAGGGACCTGCGAGAGGGTTGAGAGCTTCTCCAGGGAGCCCCTCGAGCCACCATGGGGTTTGGGTTGTCATTGTCACCATCCCTTTTCCCTGCTACTGGGACACAGGCCTGATGCTGCCTGTGGGGTGGTCCTGGGGAAGGGGGACAGGATCAGGCCCCGCCAGACTCTCCCCAGTCTGTGCCAGAGCTGTCGCTCAGCCATGGCCTCAGACCCTTGCTTGGACACCCTGAGCTTGGAGAGGACTGGCAAGGCCTGGCATGGCTGGGTCTCTCGGGGGGTTGGTTTTATTTTTGGGGGGGCTTCCCCCAGCCCCTTTTACCTCTGCTTTCCCTAAGTGAACTATGTGCTCTCTTGTTTCCAGAAGGCAGGGAGTGTGTAAATTGTGGGGCTACCTCAACCCCTCTGTGGAGAAGAGACGGCACTGGGCACTATTTGTGTAACGCCTGTGGACTCTATCACAAAATGAACGGGCAGAACCGGCCCCTGATCAAACCCAAGAGAAGGCTGGTAAGTCTCCTTCTTTTTTATTCTTTCTTTTCTTTCTTCTGCAACTTTTGCTTCTTGTCTGCAGCTCAGGATGTACAGGGAAGCTCAGCCAGCTCCGAAATCTAGTTCCATTGTGTCAGAGGGATGCTCGGAGAGATGCTCCCAGCCGCTGTGGGCCTCAGTTGTCTGGTCCTCTTGCAAACTGCCAAAAAGGTTAAAAAAAATCAAGATCCAGGGCTTCTTGCAAACCAGAACTGTGCTTTCTCTCAGGTCGCAATGGGGCAGATGCCTCTGCACAGCGCTTCTGGGTGGTGACACAAGGACGGTGGCTCTTTCCAGGGGCAGACTAATCCTTTCTTAGTGACCAAAGAGATTATCAGGAGAACAGGATTTCTCCTGGTCTCTCCACACTGCTGTCCTCCCCTTTCCAAGTGTGTCTCCATCCCCCTTGACTGGTGGTGTCATGGAGGGGGGGACCCAAGCTGGGTACCGGGTGCCGCTGGGGCATCAGCCGGACCTTGGTCTTGCAAAGAGCTTGGCTGATGGTCCTGGTGCCTCTTGAACCTGGTGTGGTCATTTGTGCCTGAGCCATGTGGCTCTCAAATTGTGTCATTCCCCTCGGTGTGAGCAAGGACACAAGGTGGGGATGGCAAAGCCCTGTGAGTGTGCAAAGCCGAGCGTGCGCCCGGGGCCACAGAAGCTGGAGGAAGACGAAAAGCGCGGGTAAATATTTGAAATAATAGTTGCAAGCCTCATGACTGTACTATGTACAGGCAATATGTTAAAGCATCCCCAGCGATCTATTTATGAATTTCCCTGTAAGCCACAAAAAGGTCTGGAAGCTGTGGGCACGGCTAATAAATGCGTTGAAGTATATTTGGCAAATAATCAGGCAAACCACAAGGGGAAAAAATATATCAAGCAGGGGGAAAAAATATGTACCCGGCTTGGGAAGTTATTGAATGTTTCGAATTGAGACACGTTTGGTTTTGTTAGGATTAAAGACATGGACAGGCTCCGGGGGGCTGCTCAAAATGCGAAGGAAAAGTGGCTCTCGCCTCTCCATGGAGTTTCTGAGCTGATGGATGGATCCAGCTGGTGGCGTGGGGCTTGTGCCCGGCACGGCTGGATCCTGTGGGCAGGCAGAGGGTGGTTCCTTGGCCTCGTGTTCCCTGTGGAGGTGCTCACGGCCTCGGTCCGGCAACTCTTAGACACGGATTCAACTTCCTCACTTATGAGATGCCCACAAAATTGGACCGGCGTTATTTCCACCGGCACTGGGAAGCGTTTGCAGGATACGACCCCAGGAGGGGTTACGCTGTAAGAGGCAGTGGCGTTGGCTCTGTCTGGCCGTGGGGGTTTTGGGGAAGATGCGGGTTTGCTCCTCTACCCCCAAACTTCCCGCGGGCGAAACCTCTCTGTGTCTTCCCCTGGGCATTTCCCTTCTAGGAAAATGTTGGTCTCCCTTGTCTTTCATAGCCTTGTTAGAAAAAAGGAAAAGCTTTCTAGGGAGGGAAGTGCAGGCTGGGATTTTTAATTTTTTTGGGCAGCTCTCTTGTTCTCTTCTCCTCCTGCCCCCGGCCCTTCTGTCTTAAACACACACACCTCGTTTTCTTTTTTTTTTTTTTTTTTTTTTCCCCCCTCGTTCTCTCTTTATGTGTAAAGTTAACTTCCTAGGAAAAAGCTGCCGGATATCTGAGCCCTGGAGATAACTCCTAAACAACAGCTCCGTTTCCCCAGCCCAAACACACAGGAGCTTGAGCGTATCCAAACAAACGGAGGGGAGGCAGAATAGGAAAGCGGCTGGAAAGGGGGGGGAGAGCTTTCAAAAAGTGTCTGATGGAACCACGAAAGAATGTCCCGAGTCACCCTCAGCCCGGCACATGTAAAATGAACCATATAAATAAATACATTGTAAAAAGTCATTCTTGGGGGGGGGGGGAAGGAGAAAGAAAGAAAAAAATAGAGAGAGACCTTGTCTTGCATAATCGCTCTGATCTTGGGCATTTTAGCTAAAGTTTAAGTTACAAAAAAGTTCCCATTCTTTGAATACGGCCTCTGCTAAATGGGAACTTTTGATTTTTCTATATATATTTTTTTTTTCTCCAGCACTGCCTGGGAAAAAAAGGGAGAAACATTTCTAACGCTGTTTGCCTCTAGATTTATTTCCCTTGCTAACCTCAAAAAAAAAAAAATCAGAAGGCACCAAAGCTGGGCCTGCGTTTGCATTTTGTGTGCGTGGATGTAGATGTGTGTGTGTCCGTGGTGTGACTTCATCTTTCCTGACTTGTGCAGGTGAGCGGGCTGGGGAAGGTGACATGTGTATGGAGGCTCAGGGTGGGGATCCAGCCTGTGCTCCTCTCCCTCTGACACAAGTTTCCTTTGTGACCTTGGGCTGGTTTTGTAGGCTCTGATCCCAGGTGCGCCAAAACTAATGAAAGGACTCCGATGGGTTGCAGAGAGAAGGCAAATAAATCCTTAGATGCTGAGAACCCAGCCCAAGCTTTATTAAATTCAATGAGCATCTTTGTAAGGGCTTTCTTTAGGGGGCTCAAAGAGGTCTGCTTTGGGGAGAAGGTAGAAGATTTGGAGATATTGGCAGGGGCATCAGGAATGGGCAGGTGGTACCATGCCACCGCTCTGCTTAAAAGGTCTACAGCCCTCTTGGAGACCGGTCCTGTCCCTGTTGAAGCCAGTGGCAGCCCTGTCAGTGATGTTACTGAGATAAAACCTTCCTTTGGGTTTTCTTCCTTTCCCTGTCCGTGTGGACGCAGGGCTTTCCGCTTCCGTGTCCAGCCGTGCTGGTTTTGAAAGGATTATAGCCAATTTCTCAGAAGGCCCATGTACGTGCAGTCTTTTTTTGTATGAAGCTGATGCTTGCAGCTTTCTAGGTACCTCATGTAAATTCAGACACCTAAAATGCCTCTGAATTAAGCATCTTTATCAGTGCTTGGTTCTTCCTGCACTGTCCTCTATTCCACTTTCTCATCACTACCAGCGTTTCTGAAGTTGTGTCCTCGCTCACATGCAACTGGGCCATGGGGTCTGGTCCTACAGATGATATGGGGCACCCTATTAGTCATCCCGTTACTTACATGGTCAGGCTCAGGTGGGTGACTAGCGTCAGTGGATGCCATTGCTGGGAGCTTTTACAATAGCGTTATTATTCATTGTTTCCTGCCTGCTGCCGGTGTCTTCAGTCTAAGTTCGTACAGCATGAAAGGTACAGCCTGGGACCAAAAGAGCACAGAGTTTAAAATATTCAGCTAATGACACTGAATTTTTGCAGGGGAAATGTGGCAGATGGAAAAAGTTTTAGAGAAGATAGTGGATGTTGTGATTTATTTGTTTATTTAATGTCAGAGTTTGTTTGAAGGTAGCAACGTGGTGACCAAGCGTGTCTTTTAAACGCACTTACCGTCAGAAATTACAGCGAGCGCCGTGTAGAAACCCCAAATATCTTCAAAGGGGATGTTTCCCCTGTGTGGGCTGAGTCAAATATCACTGGTTTTTAGAAATTTCCTTAGGCTTGATTTTTGGGTCTGATAAGGGCAAAGCTGCCACCGAGAGATTCGATCCAGCCCCTGAGCCACCCGTGCCGGCCGACGGGAGCCGGGGGGGCAGAGACCTGCAGACTCGGCCCCCGCGTCTCAGCGAGAGCCCGGCTCTGCAAACTGTTGTGTCCGTGTTGTGTTTGAAGCATGTGTATTAACCCGTTGATTTTGATGGGAACAAAATTTGAGGCCATGGCATGGTCCGGAGGAGGACAGGACTGAGGCGTCTATGCACACAACTGTTAGGGGCTCTGCCATTCGTGGTGGGATGCTTCAGCTTCTCCTGCCGGCACTGGGATTTTTGCAACCAAAGACTTGTGTGCTGTTCCCAGCTCCCACTTGTCATCAGCAAGGAGAAGTCAGCTAGAGGCCTCATTGGGCTTGAGATCGGCTTGTTTCAGCGTGGTTTATGGTTAGGCAAAGTGGAACTGTCCCCACGGGCAGCTGGTGAGAGCCCCTTGCTGTCAGACCAGGCTCTCTGTGACGCTTCCTAATGCTCATGGGCATCGTATTATTTATATTTTAGACAGTCCTTTTTGTCTAATTAAAAAAAAAATCCTACTCTATCTAAAACAAAACCAACCCGTCCGCTCTCCACCTACGCCGCATTCAATTATGATTAAAATTGCAACATGACCTAACAAGAGTTGGTATTAACGCTAGCGCTGTTCCAGTGTCCATGTTTGCATTTTGGGTTTGTTGTACGGTATCCAAAGATGTGGTATTTTTTTTTTTTTTTTTTAAATGTTGGATGTGTTACAGTGTGCGGCTGTGTGGGGTGAGGGGTAAATTTGAAACAGTAAGAGCACAAAAGAGAGCATTAAAGGCTCAGTTCTGCAAGGTGCCAAGCATTGCTATGATCTGGCAAATCGCTTAAGCACATGTTTTAACTTTAAGCACATGAGCAGTCCCATTGAAAGCAATGCATTGGGATGAAATCAGAGCTCTGGGACTGTGTCATATTGATGAAGAAGAGATAGGACGGGGATCTAAAGGTCTTTTTTTAGGAGCTGTAGGCACTTGCACACAGGCAAACATGCATACGCATTCACATAGGAGTCTGCAAACTCCTTTTCCTCCTTCAGTGCCAGAAGGACAATTTGTGTGCTAAAGTTACAGTTTTTAAATGATAAGCTCAAATTCATGCACGTGAAAGAGGAGTGACTTTGCTAAATTTGGCTTTGCTAAATCATTATCACAGCCAACAAAACAGCTTCTTTTATACACCTTGACATGTAGACTTTTTTCCTTCTCCCTCCCCCTTTATTAAATGGTAAATTCTTCTTTCAGGCTCATTAACAATCCTTAAATAAACATGAAGGTTTAGGCTGCAAAAGGGTGTAATTAAAAACTTGGGATTCTCGCTCTTTGCCACAGTGTTATTTCCGATCTGGAGCCCGTATCCTTTGAAGCTGAGCTGAATTTACGGGACCGGGCCGTGCTTGCGGTTGGACCCGGCGAGCAGCTGCCCACCGAGCTCAGCGTGGGTCTCACGGCGCTCGCTGGAGCCGGCGTGACTCACGCCGTTGACTCCGGCAATTGTTGGTTCAGGCCCTGACTGCAGAATTAGACCCCTGGGGGGTCTGAGAGAATTAAGATGGAAAGACATGTTGGCATTTAAATAATATTTTCCCCTCTGGAATGGGCTGTGCCAGCGCTGCTAATTTTGATGAGTTCTATCAGAGGTTTAGCACTCACTTTTAGGATGCCCTTTGGCACCTGATTCAGTTCATATATAATTTGGGATTAAAGTACCTTGGGGATTTTTTTCAGAATTATTATTTGTTCTCACAAGCCAGTTTCTGGAGGCCTCTGCTGATGTGCGTCAGTCTTGCAGGGTTGATGTTTTCTTTCTCAGCAATTTTGCTGATTGCATCTTTTTTTTTTTTTTAACACGGGTGCTTTTCTCTCCCTCTTCTTCTCTTCCCCTGTCTCTCCCCTTCCTTCCCGCAGTCTGCAGCCAGGAGGGCGGGCACATCCTGCGCGAACTGTCAGACCACCACTACCACCCTGTGGAGGAGAAATGCCAACGGCGATCCCGTCTGTAACGCCTGCGGGCTCTACTACAAGCTACACAATGTAAGTGTGACTGTAACGCTCAATAGCAGGGCCTCAGTTTTGGTGCTCTATGGTCCAAACGCTTCCTTGACTTAAGGATTTCCAGTCTTGGGTGGTTGCCGAGACCTCCTTTATCCCTTTGGGGGCCTTGGGGGCTGAAGTGATGAGTTTGCATCCCCTCAAATGTAGCCGATCTGACTTGGGGAGGTATAAGACAGGGCTGTCCACAGGTAATGTTAGAGCTTTCCCATGCCTGAGCCAAGAAAGGAGGAGTGGATCAACACAGAGAGAGACGTTATCCGTTGCTGATTGGGCTCAGGGCGTTGGAAAAGACAACAAGCTATCCTGCAAGGCGATACCCCTTCTATGTGTGGCTTGGTTCCTCCAGCAAATACAAACTCTGGGAAAAAAGCAAAATGTGCCAGCAACTATTTAGATCTTTCTTGGGTTTGTGGCTGCCTTTGTCCCGTCCCTCCACCCGTCCCCAAAGATGATTTATTTAGGTCTTGTGTTTGCCCTGGTTGACGCAAGCGATTCCTAAACCAAAAAAGACTTAATTTAGTTAGTGGGTTGCAGAGTCTGCTCGACCTGTGATGTGAATTTTAAAGCATCTGTCATGGAAAGGAAGGAAAAATGAAATGAAATGGCTGGCAGATTTAATCTAATATCTCCATGCAAAGCCAGCTTGCAGGAACCAGGGATATGTGCCCCAGAGAAAAAGCTAAAGGGATCTGAAAAGTCTTCTACTGAATAATACTGCTAATGAAGGAGTCTTAAGACTACTCCTGTTACTCTTATTGCACATGTGGCATTAGAATAATTATTATGTCAGAAGAAGGAAAAGACTTTCAATTTCTCTGCTTTGATATCGCTTTTTTTTTTTTTTTTTTCCTAGTGGTCGTTTGCTTTATGTTTGACTTAGAAATCTCGGGCTATGTTTTGCCCTCATGTCCACCCACGCAAACACATCAAAGACAGATTGGGTTTCATGGGGCACCCAACCCTTTTGGTGTCTCAGTCCCTTCCATTTGTTATTTCAAGCTCTTTGGTTTCTTGGGATGAGTAAACAAGTTTGGATTAAGTAGAAAAAAAAAACAACCAAGGTAATTTTTCACCTGTTCTGTGAGAGGCATCTCTCTTGGAAAAAAAGGAAAATGTGTTTACCCTTTAGTGGGCAGGCGTCTCAGCACATTTTGAGTCCTATGTAGCAAGCAAAGCTTGTCATCAAACTCTCAGTGTGATCACTGCAAACAAAGGGGTTGGACCCAGAATGAAAGCTCTCAGAATAGCACAAGAAAATATTCTCTGTTTGCTATTTCCGTAGCAAGAAGGCAACAAGGTCAGCCAGCTTCACTGGAGGAATCTATGCTTGTGCTATGTTTTCATTTTGGCCTTGTAGCTACCGGTGGTAGGACTTAAATCATGTAGCTTGGGAGACCTATAGGGAGACCTATACCTGAGCTGCTCCCCCTGTACCCAGCAAAGCCCTTTGAAGCAAATAGGGTCTTCTCAGGTGCCATTCATTGGACCTGGTGGAGATGCCTGTGTTTGGATGAGACGAGTTGTAGTCTTGAAGATGGTGTAGTTTCTCCCCATGATGACAAAGGTCACAGGATGATGAGTTCAGATGTGTCTACCTGCATTGTAGACATCTGACTGGAGGAATTCCCCCTAAGGTATCTAGAAGGGTGTCTGAGTGCTGAGGTTCTCCAGAAATGTGCCTGCAAGAGCACATCCTTTTCTTTTTCACACTAATGTTGTGAACCTAGTTGGCCTCAATTAACCCCTAGATCCACTGTTTAGGGAAACTCCGATCCAGCTGTGAAATTTGTGACATGGGGCAGGCCTTGAGCACATTGGAACCATTTTCGTATTCATTAAAACCACCGACAGCTGCTTAAAAGCTCAGCACAGCTACTTACCGAAGTCAAGTAATATCTTGCCTTATGAGCAACTCCTTTAATGGGACCTGCTTAAATGAAACCCCTAGAGGACTGAGATACTGTGTGCAGCAATATAACTGGGCAAAGATACTAAAATCTGGCTATGAGTGGGTAGATCCTTTTTTCTTCTTTTACTTTTTTAAGACGATGCTTAGTTATGACTGTGGTGAGAAACAGGCAACATCACAGCCGATAGCCCTTGAACATACCACCCTCAGCTTTAAACGTCCACGATGGCAGAGCACTGGAGCATTATTCTGCAGCCCAACTGGCTTTAGAGGTTGTGACTGTGAAGGCCAGGTTGTGCTTCAGAAGCCAAATACGAGTGAGTTTTTTGTGACCAGTGGTAAGGCAGTGGTAGCTTCATGGAGATGCCTTCTCTTTTTGGCTGCTGGGAGGCAGGACCTAGGGAGCTGTGCTAACTGCCTGGTGAATGGCACCAGCATCATCCTTTAATGAGCTCAAGGCAGGGAGGAAGTCTGGTGGTTGCACGTAGACAACGTTCCTTGGCTGGTGCAAATTGGTCTGGTCTGTTGAAGTGCAAGACCTGTTTGCATAGTCAGTGGTCCAGCTCCCTTTGAGTATCTTACCTGCATTGGTTCTCCATCAGGAGAGGTGTCAGAAATAGAGAGGCTCATCATAGCATGTCCCTCCCAAGCAGCTGAGTGTGTCTGCACAGATATTGTGTCAATACCAGTAGAAGGGCTTTGGCCACTCAGAAGATGCCTTCACCCTGTTTCAGGCTAGACTGTAGGGAATTCCTGGCTGCTTTTTTATCCCTCCTCGATTTTGTCTTTTCTTTGGGTTTAATGATTTTTTCTTGGTCCTTCAGATTATTAGGGTATTTTAATGGATTGATCTGAAGATGAAACTTACCCAGTTTTTAAGTCCACACCAGGAATGGCTGCAGTGAAAAGGCTATTTTTTTCATGGCGCTATTTTTTTCATGGGGCTATACCAGTTTGTTTTACTGTTGATTCCCACAGCTTAAGCAAACCCATTTGTCAGTAGGATATAAGCAATAATCATAATAGTCTTGGGGTGCATTTAGTGAAGCTGCTGGCATTTCTCCCACTGACTTCAACAAGAGCCGGCTCCATTAACACCAGTATTAACAATGACTAATATTTCACATTGATACGGTGCCTTTCATCCTGTGGCATCCCAGAGTGCTTTCTAAGATACAGCCAGCCTGGAAGATTAACCCAACATTGTAATGACTATGTCTGAAGGATAAATCCGCTTCAGTGACAGGACCTTATTGAGGTCAATGGCAAAATCCCATTGTCTTCAGTCAGAGCAAGATCAGACCTATAATGTTTAAAACTATCCCCTGGATTTGATCTGTTGAATGTGAGGTTCTTGTCCTTGTTATTTTAGTCCTTCTTAGAAGTGGGATGAGCCTTTATTCACTTCAGGGATGGGTGGGAGTGTACCTTGCTGGAGCTGCACAGCAGACTGGCCTGTGCCCATAGGAATGAGTGAGTTGCCATTGTTTTTGGTAAAAGTCCTCAGAAAAGGCCTCTATTTCACAATCTCCTAAAGCAGGGCTAAGCATCCCAAGAGCAGAGCAGTTGGTATTTTGCGTATGTTAAAACAAAGAGCATAATTCCTGCCCATAATTAATTGGCTCCATCTGAAATTAATGAATTTCATATACATGCGTTGGGTTGGTTTAGTTTTAATTTAGCATGTGTTTGTCATATTTATCACAGTGAATTTTCGTGGAGAAGGTCTTCCCTCTGGATCTTTCGTTTCTCTACCCCAGAAACAGAGATGGGTCCATGGCTTTAATATTTTGGGAATAACTTCAACTCTGCTGTGACTGGCCTTTGAAATCACTGGAAAAATTTTCCAGTTTGCTCTGTGACCATGCTGGTCTCACTCTTCTTGACATTTATTCGAGTCCTTATCTATTTGGCACTTGGGTCAGGTACCTGCTAGGAGAGTGGGACCATGTACACCAGGATGATGTCTCCAGCTAACAGCTTGGATGGCATCTCCGACCCCAGTTGCACGTCTGGCTGTGGCTTTGTCACCATCCTGAGCAAACCTGGTATTCCAATCCTTAAGTTTCACATCAAATCATGCCCTGGGCCAATCTGTTCTTAGCGACTGAGTGAAACATGAGAGACGTTGCTTTGGGGAAGGGGTCATTGTCCTGCAGGACATGACACCAAGCTACACAGGATCAGGACCCAGTGCTCGCTGTAAGAGCCAGCACAGCCCCAGTCCCAGCACCAGGCTGATGTCACTTTGCCACTGACAGCTCTTGAGCTTGCACCTTTGCTGCTTCACCTGGAAATCAATTCTGGCTGCCCCTGACCCTTTGTGTCGCAATGCAAATCCTCATTAGGAGCTGGGGAGCCTGGGACTCATGTGTGCCTCCCCAGATCTGAGCCGGATTCATCAGGGATCAAGACTTCCACGTCTCCTCTAGCATCGCTGCCTGGTGGGGCTCACTTGGGCTTCCTCCTGGCTTTAAACCTGGGCAACACGTCCCTGTTGGCTGACTTAAAACAGGTCAGGCAAAGGTTTCCCATCCCAGCCATCCAGCTGGAGCAAAGGGCCTTCCTTCTGTGTGTGTCCCTGTTCCCTCGGTGAGGACAGGAAGCCAGGGAGATGGGTGATGTATTTAGAGCCCATGACAGTTGAGGTTTTTGCGTGTTGCTGCCCCAGGGCTGCTGGTGGGCTGTGCCTGGGCAGCTTTCTCCCTCCTATCTTTAGCAAGCAGGGCTGCTCCCTCTGGCTCCCTTTATCCAGAGGCAGAAGAATCAGTTTTTTATTCACCCATTTTTAGGATGAGGTGAAGTTTCCCATCACCGCTGGTACGGAGAGCAGGGGGTCACTAATTCAGGCTGGGATGATGAACTTTGGGATACCTAAACTGGAGCAAATGAGAGTGGTCCTTCCTCTCCCTGTGCCTCCATCACCACATGTAACAGGGAGCTATTGTATCCCTGCCTCCTCGGGGAGAGAAATCCGTGAATGTTGCAGGGAAAGGCACCAGGCAGTGGCTGATGAGCAAGAAGTGAATCTTTGCTGTGATCTGGAAGAAGGGAGTGCTTTGTTCTTTGCACTGATTTAAGATCCTATGGATGAAGATCTGCTCAGGGCCCTTGTAGGAAACTCTTCATTGTCCTTCACCGGGGTTGAGACAGTAGTTCCCAGTGGATTGTGGATCCATTTTTTCCCCCTTTTCACCTTTGTGCAGAATATCCATCAGCACTGTCATGTGCTCACATTTATTAGGAAAAGCGGTGTTCAGCCCTGGGAGATTTTCTGGGCTCTCCTGCCTTCTGCAATGGGTGAAATTTTGCAGAGGAGCCAGTGCAAGACCTATATAACTCCCCACGTACACTTCCAAGTCCAGATTTTTAAGGATATTCATGCATATTGGATGCATAAATTCCTTCCCAAGTGTGGTCTTTGGGGCTTTCACAGCACCTGTGCTAATGCATGTTATGATGCTGGCTCTCCATGCAGCAGTAGGAGTTTCTTACAGGAGGTCCAACAGACCTTTTCCTACCATTTCCCAACCCTGACGGGTGTATGGTTGGTGACTGCAATTGCTTATATCCATACAGAAGAATATAATGCTTAGGTTTCCTATAGATATGTCTGCATGCAAATAGAAAATGTTCTGCTGCGCAGTGCAGATACCTGTTTCAGCACCCCCAGAAAAAACCTGGAAGGCTTTAGAAATAAAATCAGATCTGCTAAAGTAAACTTGAAAGGATGGTCAGAGAAAAATCTTTCAAAAGAAGAAAAATAAGACAAATACCTGCCACTTTTGTGAAGAGTTTGCCCAGCTCCCTAATATCACTGCGAAAGTTTGAGACCCCTCGTAACACTGAAATCCCAGCAGGTCTTGCTGCTAATGGTTTTAGATCAGTCAGGAAGCCTCGGGGTGAGATGGTGTCTGCGGGCAATATTTCAAGGTGATAATGATTGGTTTCATTCCTAAACATGGTGCAATTCCCTAATGTGCAGATAGCTGAAATTTTTCAGCCCCTGCAAGTTATTTGTGTATGTTTTGCTCCTGTGAGGCCCTGCCAGTAATCTTCTGTTGTCCAGTCTTCAGAAATTTCAACCGAACTTGGGATTTCCTGGTGGGATCTGAATTTGAGGATGGGGGGGAGAGGTTATGTGGCTGTGGCACACAGGGCGTACAAGGGGAGGAGGGGGGCTGCTGGCTGTTCAGCTGGTCCTGGGCACATCCCTGCAACTGCCTGGGCATGGGGTACACAAATCCCATGGTGATTCGGGGAGAAGGGATAGAAGCACAAAAAAAATAATTGATTTTTGTTTAGATTAACAGACCCCTGACTATGAAGAAAGAAGGAATTCAGACCAGAAACCGAAAAATGTCTAGCAAATCCAAAAAGTGCAAAAAAGTCCATGACAACCTTGAAGACTTTCCCAAGAGCAGCTCCTTTAACCCCGCCGCCCTCTCCAGACACATGTCCTCCATCAGCCACATTTCACCTTTCAGTCACTCCAGTCACATGCTGACTACACCAACACCGATGCATCCTCCATCCAGCCTCTCCTTCGGACCTCACCATCCTTCCAGTATGGTCACTGCCATGGGTTAGCAAGAGACTCCCCTGCTGAATGCTTACGGTCTCAAAATGAGATTTACTTTATATACTTGCATTTTTGCAGGCGTGTGGTTATGGGTCTGACATCCCGAAACAAATGGGAGGGGGAAAAAAGAATTAAAAAAAAAATGTTATTTGAAGGCGTAAGAGAGAAAAAACAAAAACCCAGAAAAAAAACTACAAAAAGCACAAAAAGGAAAAAAAAAAGAAAAAAAAGAGAAAAAAGTAAAAAAAAAAGTTTTAAAAAGTGATGTTTGCCACTTTTTAAAGGAACTCACTATGGCGTCTATGTATTCTTACCCACTGAATCTGGATACCATTTGTGAATAAGCCATTCAGAACTTGCATTCCCTATTGGACAGGATCTCTAGTGCTGTGAAAAAAATAATAAAATAAAATAAAAAATGCTGAACATTGCATATAACTTATATTGTAAGAAATACTGTACATTTGAGGAAGACTTTATTGCATCTGGAGAGCTGTAAAGAAAAAGGCATGAAGGACTCCGAAAGATTTTTTTTTTAAAGGAAAAGAAAAAAAAAAAGAGGACGGGAGGACAATTTAAAAGACAGAAAAACAAACAATGCAGACCAAGAGGAAACGCGGTCTTACGAACAAATGGACCAACTGCCAGTCATGTCTTCTCCTTTTATTTTATTTTTATTTCAGTTTTTTTGGTTGGTTTTTTTTGGTTTCTTTTTTGTTTCCGGGGAGGGGGAGGGGGCTGGCTAGAACGGTTTTGATGATGCATTAACTAACTAACTAATTAACTAAATAACTAAATAAATAAAACCTGTAGGGAGATCATTCATTTCAGGCCACGGGCCTTTTACATAGGAAGTACCAATGGTGTCAGGCAATCAGTGTTAACATGCGGACATTGCCAACAAGGGGTTTTCAGATAGCCATTCTCCAGGTCTATACGCATTGTGAACAAGTTCCTGTAATTGTTGTTTGTATGTATAATTCAACGCACCAAAATAAGAAAGATGTAGATTTATTTCATCCTATTATACAGACTGAATGGTTGTACAAATTTATTTACTGCTAGTGATAAGACCTGCTTTTTTTTTGTTTTGTTTTCATATTTTTTCCTCCTTTTTTTTTTTGAGAATAAACTAGATTAAATTCTGTTGACTTAAAAGTGTTTTGTGCTTGGGGGTGGGAAAGGGAATATGTTTCTTTCTTTCTTATTTTTTTTAATTTGCTTTTTATGGTATTTATTACATGGTTACCACGGGTATGGGAATGTGTGTCTCTGCGCTCATGCTAACAGCCAATGCAGTGTTTGCGGTGGCTTGATTAAAAAAAAAACAACCACAGAACAAAGGGAAAAAACCCCTCAAAAATAAATGGACTGCATGTTAGTGTAATCCCACTGTCCAGTGTGTGCTCCCTGTCCCTCGAACCGCAGTCCAGCCGCTGCCTCTGCTTGCTGTTGGGCTCCCATGTGGGATGGGTCCCTTTTGGTCTCAGTCAGCTATGGCCACCATGGTGGCAAACCCATGTCGATGACAATTTGGGACTGGAATAAGTGCAAAGCCAGGTCCTAATGGTCCTGGCTACTTTTTGGGCAATACTAGGAAAGACCCTGAGACTTTGGACAGGAGCTGGAAAAGCACTTCCTGCTCTGCCCCATTGGGTACTCAGGGGTATAATTTGATGGTGTAAAGTTGAGAACTTGATATGAAATCAAGATGGACCAGACCCTGTCCCTGTGCTTGGAGGAATGGGCAGAACCTGTTACAAAAGGCTGGGTTTGATGGTAGACACAGGACAATTCCCAAAAATTCAAAGGCTGTCAACCAGCCCCTTCCTTCAAGAGTTTTCTTTGAAATAATGTCATTTGTATTGATATTATTATTGTTAATAGAAAAGTTTGGCTTTTATAATTTGATTTCTGATGGTTTAATCCTTAGTAATTTTTCCTTCTTTTAGTCTTCAGTATTTACTCTTCCAGCTTCTTTATACCATCATAAGGGTTGGGCATTTACTTTCCAAATGAAGTGTTCTTATCACCCCACGTCATTTGCTGGAGATTTAAGCATGGTGTGATAAGACAGAGGTTGCCAAGGCTGTGACAAAATGCTTAAAAAACCCCAAACAAAAAAACAACCCTCAAACGTAAAAACCTCAGCAGACATGACCTGCAAATGAATTTTTTTTTAATGTGAAATGAAATTACTGAGTCCTTTCACCCAGAAATATGTGTACTCCTGACTTTCAAGTGGATTGAAAAATATCACTGTATCTGTCAGATGCTATTTTGAACCCACTTTCTCTTGGGTGATAACTGGAGAGGATAACAATGACATGGTCTAATCTTCTTCTGCAGGATGGCTCACATAAGTAAGGATGTTTCATGTAAGAAAGACCACTTCGAAACTTTCAGGATGATTATACAGAGGTTAAATAGTCATTTGATTTGGGAATGGGGGAGGAGGGGAAGAGGATTGACATTTATTTGGCCTTTTTCTCCCCTGTTTCAAAATGAACCTAGTAAAACTGTGTCTACCATAAAGGAAGATTTAGCAGATGTAAGCAGAACAGGCAGTAATCATTTTGTAATGTTGTATATTCTTTCCTTTTTTCTCTGTTGACAAAAATGTGTAAAAAAAGTCAGAACAAACGGCACACATTTCAAATCTTATGTTAATCACCTTTCTGCTTTCTCAATGAATATTTTAAGTATAAAGACTAAATGTCAAAATAAAACAGAGTGAAGAATTACTGAGATGCAAATGGAGATCTTGTTGGCTCCTAATTAATCATCTGCGAATTATAAAGCTATTTTCAATTAGTCTGACAAATCAAAGGAAATAATCATCTTTGCTGATAGTAAGCTTGAGAGATTATTATTTTTTAATTCGTGATGCTACAACCTTTCCCTCCTTTTGCTCATCAACAGATTGCAGTTGGACTAAGATACTGATTCCAGGACCTCAGCAATGGTGAAAATTAGAGGACGGTTCACACAGCAGAATTTTCCACTCATATTATTGTGTTTGAATCTTTCCATATGCTTTGGAGGGAACTGGCTCCTGAGTTTGTCTAACTTCTTTTTCTGAAAACTGGAAACAGCTTCTTGCAGTTTCCTTCTGATGTTGTTTCATAGGTCTTAGGGGCATTGAGCCAGATGAAGCAGGATTGGGGCCAGCTCAGAGGATGGGCATCCTGAAAAGGACACACGTGCAGGCGCTCTGTCTGCATATACTCTAGGAAACATATACAGTTTGTCTAGAGAGTTCTTACATCAATTGTCTTATATTCTGATGCCAGGAGCAGGATGAACAAGATCTCTCACATCACATACCCCCTGATTACTGCCTGAGATGCTAAATTAACATGAGTGGTCTACCAGTTTATCAATTTTGTTTTTTTTCTTTTCTTCTCCTAGAGAAAATATTTCAGAATTTTAATGTCTTGAAGGGTTTTGTTTGCTTGTTTGTTTTTTTGTCATTTTTTTGTTTTGTTTGCTTGGGTTTTTTGTTTCTTTCCTTCCCTTTAACACATGGGAAAAAGCTGGTTTACAGAAAAGACGGAGAGCTGTTGTTCTTGTGCAAACGTCTTGTGAACGGCAGCTCTGCCTTTCTTCATTTCTGAAGTTGCAGGGAAGAGCTGATGACAGGCAGGTTGGAGCAGGAAAACCCTCTGAGTCATGGCTGTACTTCAATAATCTATATTGTGTAGAAAACACCATGGAAGTCATTAGTGGGGTCAAATCTTGTGGTCTTTTTGCAGGCAAAATGCCTTCTGGGAATTTGAGTGAGTAATAGCTGCTGTGCTGATGTGACCATGGTAACTACATTTTATTCATGATCCAAGCAAAAGTCCATTGACATCAGTGGAAAGACTCCTAACGAGTAATGCAATAAGACTTGAATCAAGGCCTCCTAAGTATTAATTTCAGTGTTATCACCTTGATTTATCTGCCTTAGTTAACTTTTCAGCTGCATCGGTCCTGTGTCAGTACACATGCAGGCCCACAAGACACATGCGCGATATTGAAGGGCTATTTTACCAAGCTCAATGCTTCAAGGTTGAAGAAATGAGAAATGCTGTAATTAACATAATGAAAAACCTTTCTTTTTTTCCCTATGTATTTGAATCATGAGTTGTCTTACGATGCATCTAGATCTGCATTAGCAGTGTGTTTTTGAAGTGATTTCCCAATAGTCCCACTTTAGGGCAATGAGATTTTGCCTTGGCTTATGCAACATGGTTTCCTTGCACCCCACCTAATGTGCTACTACAGTAATGGGAACTCAGGCCACAGGGCCACACCTAAAACTACCCCGAAGCAACCCCCCCCAAATAGGGTCTTTGTGTCTTCAGCGCAGATTGTTTTTCCCTCCAGAGTCACTCCTATTGCTGATGCACACATTGCCATAAACTACACGTTCTCATACTCCTTTTTGGTCACTGAGACTCCTGATTCACTCAGGACTGGTTGTAGTCTGGGGAAGAATCTGGGTGGTTGATGGAGGGTCTAGAGGGAACCTGTCTTTTTTTTTTTTTTCAGCATCTGGGAGGTGTTTGGGATAAGACACCAGAAGACATTCTCATTGAAAAAAACCGTAAACTACTCCCTAAAAAGTGTCACGTTTATCCCTACTTCTTTCATAGAGGTTCTATATGGCATTGGGAAACTCAGCCCAGTCTTGTCACACGGGGACAGCCACTAATCGTGTGATTCTCCCTTTTGGAGATGCCTAATTTCACACCCTGACTTCTGCTTTGCAGAGATGTTCCGTGCTCTCAGTGGTATCTGAAGCCAGGGGATCTTGTGCCTGGATTAATGCTGCATAATACTGAATTCTTGAAAAATACAGGGTTTATCTCAACCTGAACTGCAAAGACAGGCCTTCATTTCTTCAACCTCCTTCCACCCCCAAATCTGGAGAACAGATAATAACTCCTTCTCTCCTCAAAGATGTGTTATGAAGATAAATCCATCACTTGTGAAGTACTTGGGTGCAGGTTGATGAGCACCATGGAAAACCCCTCAGCTTCAGCAGGTCTGCAGGAAGGAAGGCGTGAGGAGTAAGCAAAATATAGGTCCACTGCTCATGAAGGGCAATGTCCTGAATGAGGCAAAGAAAACAAAAAGTGCACTGAATGAGGCAAAGGAAACAAAATTTGGTGTGATTGTCATATGTTGAAGGAACTATGGAGGTGGAGGGAGAGTGAGTAAT